TGGAGATTCAAATATTTTTTCCCACCCACATGTCAGATTTTCCTTCGCCACTGTAGTGTTTCGAACCTAGAATTATGGAACTCGTTTCAGATTTTGACAGCCATCAATTACATACGTGCGTAATATCCATTGTTGCGAGGCTAGGTGCTCTCATGCAATGTCAGAAACTGGATTCTTGTAACACTTTACATGTTACGATAAGAATAAATGATTAGTAATTACGGGTAAATGCCAGTAATTGTAGAGAATTATCAGAAGTGGTTAATGCATAAGTATGATAAATGATATGAACTCCGTCCCAAGTGCAAACAATATATTATATGTCCTTCATCTTGTTCTCCTTTACACTACAAGTTTCGGCCTCAAACGGCCATCATCAGGTGTATACACTCACGTTGCTGTTACACTGCACTTAGTTTAAAATTTAACATTTAAAAACACATTGTTCCTTTCCTTGTTATTATCAACATCTAATTCGTTGATATCTGTCTGGTTTGTAGATTATTTTTGTTACACACGTTAGCACTTATAAAATCTTTAGTTCTAATTTTAAAATCCTTTAAAATTTTTCTCTAAATTTTAAAATTTAAGTATATTTTTACGCAACTATTTTGTTTCAGGACATTATCCATCGTCCTGTTTTATCTAATATGTAAATGTTAAAAAAAAACAAGACGGTGTTTTATATAAAAGCAGGAAAATATTTGCATAAAATATATTTATTACATAAAATTTATTAAATAAAAACAGGACGATGGATAATGTCCAGAAACATAATATTGTAACGTGGATGGACAAAGGGTTGCTAAGCAACGGCTCGGTAAACAAACCTCAACAACAGAGAGACTGTTTTGTATGAGGTCCGGGCCGCAACCGTTGCTATGACATGGTCCGGTAAACATGTTTCAACAACAGAGACTGTGTTTTCTGTGGGGTCCGTGCAAAGGAGTTATCTTAAAAACAAACACGAGTCGTAGGAGGCGACGAAAAGGGAAGTCTCATATCTGAGACAGTAAAATATGGTCGGGAGTACCAAGGGACTCGGACCCGAGAATGACTGCGCTGGCAAGGGCCAGCAGCATATACAAAAGACAGACCCGTCCTCTCGTCAGAGAGGGCGCCCAACGAAACAAGACCGTAACTGTCAAACGTGTAAATATCTGGACATGAGCCCCATATGAGGCTCGAAACCAAGACTTACTGACTGACTGACTGACTGACTGACCGTCATGCGCAATGTGACTTTGACTTTGACTCTGAGGTCGAAATATGTAGTGCGTGCTATATAAATAAATAAATAATAAAGTATCGTTGCGCTGACCATAAAAATTATATGTTCATTGTATACAGGAAAGAAGATGCAATCCTTAAAAAATAATTGAAATGAACATCAATGAAAAACCAAGAGTAAGAAGTTAACAATTCAGCTATACGGAATTCACACATTCTTGCTTACATTCATAAATTTTATACTAAACAAGAGTATAAATGGTGCCCCCTAGGCAAAGGGGTCATGTTCTAGTATTCAAAAGGGCATCACATCTCACACAGTTCCTATCGGAATGTAACCTCTTAATATACTATTAAAAGAAAATATTAATAAGCAATTTGGGTTATAGACCTATTTCACCAGGTTCGCTGTCAAGCCCGTTATATTTCGTTATTGTATTAATAACATATTTCTCCTCGTTACAGCAGGAGTCCACTTCGTTCTGAAGGAACGCGCAAGTCGGCGGAACCAAGAAAATAGCAGAGGCTGTAGACAACAATGTCGCAAAAAATTGATTGTCTGTAATGTTATTTAATAAATGTTGTTAATAATTATTTTTATTTCCATACGATATTATTCCAAGAACAATAAATATAACCCAAATACATAAACTTCTTGCTACGTGTATTTATCTTCCTATATCACTGCAGAGAAATTTACGACATCAACTCTCTCAATTCAACTCTCCTGCTTTGCTAAATGCAGTATTATGGATTTTATGGTCAGAGAAGCAGAGTCGGACAATAACAATGTAATAAATTCACTCACGGTCGCTGACAACCGAATGCTGTTACCTAGCAACGCACTGCTATCACACAAGGACAGTATGAATGTGACAAGCCAATTATCTCGAACCCAATAACAATAATATCCCGATTCTCACTTCCAGAAACTATTCCACTACAGAAGAGTTCTTATTGAGAAGCTGACAGTCACTCAGCTATTCAAGAAATTTGCTGCATTTGGTGGAATTTGGAAAATCATTGACATGCTTCAAATACACTGTCATTCTTGCATATCATGGTCTAAATTGAGTTAGTCCACATCCTTGCACCCTGCTTCTTTAAAACGTATTTTAATATTATCCCCTCTTCTACGCTTACATCTTCCAAACGGTCTCTTTTGTGTAGGCCAGCAGACCAAAATATTTGTGATGTTTTCTATGCATGCTATGTGACCTGCCATCTCATCGTCCTTAATTTTACCACAGTAATATCTTGTCAAGAATATACGTCACGAAGCTTCTGAGTCCAGCAACTCGTTATTTCCCCTGGGCTCCAAATGTTCTCAACACTTCGGTTTAAACCTTTTACAGGAAGTGGTCGAGTCGAATTTCGGCTGAGACACTGACAATCCTGGCTGATGTCTTTCGTGATTTTTCTCAGCCCATCCAGGAAATACTGGGATAGCACGTCGATTAAGCCAGGCCGTTTCCTTTCACACAGTTTCAACTCCACCAGCCATCTATTCACGTTACCATTCGGCGCTGCATTGTCCAGAGCCGTGAAATAACCCACAAAATTAAATTAAAATAAAACTGTCTAAGCCATCATCGGTTTTCAGACCAAATTTTGAGAACCAAAAGTCTACAAAATCCTCATTTAATGTAGCTTATACCAGATCACACTTTATTCAAGTTTCAAGAAGGCGTAATTTGTTGATGAAGAGTTATTCGGGGCTTCAGGCAGTTCCATCCCTCAGCTAGAAGTTATGCCCTTATAAAATCCAACGCCACCTCTCCTTTTAAGAATGTAAGCAACCGCCGCCAGCAGTTTTGCACGGAGAGTGAGAGTTTCACTTTACTACTCGGTGGGTAGAAGGGTTTCCTATTTACATGGTAAACCAATAAAATTATTAAAGAACTAAAAAGTTGTGGAGAAGTGTGAGTCACAAGAAGTCTCGCGTTAGAGGTTCCAGCAACTTTTACTCGGGGTAAAGAAGAAGGTAATTTTCCTAAGGAAAAGTTCAGTCAAGACTTCTAAGATGACGTAAGTGAAAAGTGGAAAATGAGTAAAGTTCACAGGTTATAATATATTCTATCAGAGAACGCACAAGAGTAGAAGATTGTATGATGAAAGCAACACGCTTTTAACCTCATAAAACAGAACGGTAACTATATATACCAACTGTTTGAACATTAAAAACCTCTGCATTCTGCCCACACAGTGTACTCGTATTTACGTGTTCTTTATGATTCTCGCAACAAAGAGCGATTATTTCCCTAAAAACAATAACAGGTTGGGCTTTGTTGTGGAGACGTAATCTGTTTCCTGTGAGGTACGAACTGAATTTATATATACTGCATTCTGCCCACATAGTGTATTTACGTGTTATGTGTGATTCTCACAATAAACAACGATTATTTCCCTAAACAGCATTAACCGGTTGGGCTTTGCTGTGGAGACGTAATCTGTTTCCTGTGAGGTACGAACTGAATTTATATATACTGCATTCTGCCCACACGGTGTATTTGTGTGTTCCATATGGTTCTCACAACAAACAGCGATTATTTCCCTAACCAGATTTAGCCGGTTTGCCTTTGTTATGAAGACGCAGTGTTTCCTGTGAAGTACGAACTGGATTCTTAAATATTCATTGCACGAAGTTCGGACATCATACGACGAGATGGCTGGTTTGAATGCTTCCAGAGCCGTCGGTCAGTAAAATGTGGCTATGAGTCTCATGGGATATGTACTCAAGAACCTCTGTGTTGGCGAGGACCAGCAGCAATGTAGCAGTCAGTCAGTCAGCCAGATTTCCCAAAATTTAAGGTAAATTACAGAACTATCCAAGGAGAGTGAGATGGACGCGGATGTAGCACGTAAGTGAGATATGATAAATTCATAAGGAATTTCGGCTTGGAAATCATAAGGAAAGTTATCACTTGGAAGACCTAAGCGCAGATGGGAGAATAAAGTTATAAAAAGTTGTTCCTGTGTTTAACTAATTAATCACTACGCCATGAAGATATTTTGTGTAGTGGATGTATAGATTCACGTGTTCTTGACCTCAGCAATAGGTGGAGGTCAGTGGTCAGCATCACGCACCGGCTGATTTGCCTCCGGTGAAAGAGCTACCAAGTATCCATTGAGCAGGAATATAGATCGGCCCCAGAACCGGTCTGGACGTGAAAAGGAGAAAATTCTTGCCTTTACCGGGACACGAAATCCCACTGTAGCCAGTCGCCATACCGACTGCGCTACCGCGAACTGACTAATATAATACTCGATTTTCAAAGAAATAGGGCAGACTGTTGTGGACTTGATTCATGTGCCTCGGGACAGGGACCAGTGGTGGGCTGTTGTGAACACGGTAATGAACCAAATAAGCAGTTTGTTTCTTGAATAACTGAGCGAATACTTTGTCCTCTCCTGATGGATTCAGCTCCAATTAGTCAATCACTCATTTTGTCGTTGAGCCAGTTAATTAATTTGTCATTTAACTGTAATGAAATCGAAGCTGGAAGCTAGTGCCTGAGACTGAAAGCTGCTAGCAAAGATATTTTTTATATTTTATCTGTGACGTGGCTTCAATATCCAGCTCATAAATAAATTACGAGCTCCCAATGAAATGTATTATTACACTTCATCAGGGGGACGATTTGTTTCTGCCTTTTCGCCTCACGTGAGCGCTGCGCAGGTTTGCTTTATCGTGGATTTATACCGATGCGACATTGATCGAGCTGTATCCATGGAGACTTGGAACACAACAACCATAAGGCACTGTTCAGTACTGTGGCATGGTAAAGAATGTGAGGTCTGATATTGAGAATGTTGTTAAATTGAAACTACTTCATTTCCATTCAAGGGAGGAACAAGTGAGATCACAGATGGTTCTGGGGTCACAAATATGGAACTTCTATCATCAGAAGGTAAGATTGTTTCTTTTGCATGCTAGTTCGAGCTCTGAATACCAAAAGTACTTAAGCCTTTACATCCCGAAATTAATGTAAACATTAATTAAAAATTCAGTTTGTACCTCACAGGAAACATTGCATCTTCACTGTGAAGAGAAACTGGTTAGGGAAGCAATCGCTGTTTATTGTGAGAATCATATAGAATACACTAATATACTGTGTGGGAACGTCATGTCGTGGTAGATATATTTATTATATTTTTATTGTTAAGTAAACACGAGGTCAGATATTTTTCTTGAATGATTTTTTTATTCCCAGCTAGAATTTACTTGTTCAGAGAAATTTGGTGTTTATGTTGGATTTGGTGTTCCTATGGAGGTGATTTCATAGGCTAATTCTGGGATGTGACGTTGTATAATCCAGTAATTTTCTCCGACGTTTCGGATAGATAAACGTCGATAAACTTGCGCCAGAATAAAGGATGTCATATCTCAGAAGATTGTATTCTTCAAGTCAATTAATTGTTCACACCTCTTTAAAAAGGTTAGGTAATAAGGTATGTAAAATGTTATGTATATTTTTAAGTGTGAAAGTAAAATTATTATACACTTGAGAGAGACATTGTAACTTGCAATCGAAGGCCGCGCCATAGCTCAAGCGGTTAGTCGCTGGCTTCCCATCGCGGCGGACCGGGTTCGATCCCGGGTCTGGTCAAGTGGGATTTGTGGTGGACAAAGTGGCGCTGGGGCAGTTTTTCTCCGAGTACTTCGGTTTCCCTTGCCAATCTTCATTCCACCAATTGCTCCGCAATCACCCTCACCTATCATCTGGGGCTGGTAAAATAGGCCAGAAATGGCCGCAGTACAAGGGACTTAGTCCCACCCCACTAGCTTTAAAAAAACTTGCAATCGTCAACAATTACATAAACTGAAATAGTTGTAAAGGAAATCGTGTTGAGCTATCCGTGGAGCTCTTCCTATAACACAAAGAAGTGTAATCAGCTGTTTACTGTACAGAGTGGATTCAACCAGTAATCTGTGAAGCTGCATTGTAGGCTCTGTCTATACAGGCACGCACGCACGCGCACACACACCAATGCTGCAGGATGTTCAAATAAAATATTATGCTGAGTAAAAATATGACTGTCTTCTGTGATATGACGCCGTGTATTATGGTAGAAAGTAACCAAAATTTCTTAGGTAACTTCTGACTTCACTTTCAGGACAACCTTTGCGATTTTTACCAGAACAGACGGAGTCGCCTCCTAGAGGACTGTCATTTTCACGTCCATTCCCGTGTAAGCATCAAATCTACCTTATTAGTTCTGATATTAAATCCGTTTAATTTATCCGCAGGTATCCCATCTCCACAGAGACAGTACCCCACATGTACTGACGTAACGAGAAGATGAACATTCTGGTGACGAGCTCAACTGCAGAAACCCAACATGGAGACGAAGTACACGCTTATTGTGAAGAACAACGGGTCTGTGGTCCAACTTGTAGAGGATGGTCCAGTCCCGCCCGTAGTTCCAGGGGTGTTCCTGGTGCTGGACTTCACTCTTGGACTGTGTCTCAACCTGGTTATCGTCTTCACCATAATTATGTGCCCTGCGCTAAGGCGCCTGTCCTTCAACAGCATTCTGCTCCACCTTTGCGTGAGCTGCGCCCTTGACTGCATCCTTAACTTGCTTGGTGCTGTGGGCTTCGTTGCAGTGACACGTAAGTACTTGTATCATACAGCTTCTCAGTGAGCCCTGGGCTTCTCACGAATGTTGCCGTCCGCTGTCTGGCAGGCGGAGAAGATTTCGGATGAGAGCCTGTCACTGGTCTCCATCTGGCTCAGTGGAGGGCTCTTGTGACACGGTAATGAACCTTCGGGTTCCATAAATTGTTGAAAAATTCTTGAGTAGATTAGAGACTGGTGGTTTCTCAAGAACTCAGCTCCATGGCTTTAGTTAGCTGATTTCCGTTGCATACCCAGTATTCCATTCCAGTACATGTTACCCAATGGTATGTGGTGGCTGACATTTGACGCCATCTCCCACGAATAATACCTGGTAATAGTCAATTGCAAACCGTCTCCTAAATATAATATACTACATTTTAAATATCCTCATAACAATATTATGAATACTCACAGACTAGACACGATACACTGAAACAAAATTATTGTTCGCTCGTTCGTAATTTATTACATAATTCAGCTACATAGAAAATGCTAACGCCCAACAATGCAGTGTTATTTTAACCCGAAATTTTTTAATTAAGTGGGTACGCGGTATCGTAATTGGTTGAAGCACTGTGCTACCAGCCGTAAGCTAGCGGGATCGAATCCCGATGAGGTGGATTTTTTCAATTGACCTAATCCTTCCAGCCCCACTATGGTCCTGGGGTCGACTCAGCCTCTAATAGAAATGAGTACCAGGAATATTCTTGGGGGTAAAGGGCGGCCGGCGCGTAAGGCTGACAACCTTACTGCCATCTATGGGTCGACTGTCTAGAAAATATGGAAGCCTCTACGTCTCACAACCCTATGGGCCTTCACGGCCTGTTGCAGGGATACCTTTACTTGCTTTTTTACTTTAGTGTTTAATTTAAGAAGGATTGCTTCTGTTTCTTTGTCGTATTTTCTTTTCTTTTTAATTAATGTCATCCTCGCCAGCCTTGACATTTCCTACCATGGTTTCATTATAGTAGCCAATTGAATGACGCTGTATCAAATTAAAAATGGTTTTGTGTCAAATGAGAACGACCATAAATTGTGCACTGAGAAGGGGAGGAAGAAAATGGGTTTAAAGTACAAGCTATTCGTATGAAAAGAGGCTCGTTCAGGTTATGGACCATATGCAGAAATTCGAATCAGGTAACCTTAGCCGTATTCAGGAGAGCAATGCATTTCCCACGACCCGTACTTGTAGTCCTGCCGAGTGATCTTCTGATCATAACGCAAAGTTCTCATCTTTCCTCTAGATCTTGAGCTGCCACCGAACTACGCTCCTGAGATGACCTTGGCGTGTCGCGTCAACGCGGCCTTGACGCAGTGGACAACGGCAATCCAGAGCGTCGCCATGGCAACTCTAGCTGTGGATCGCGTCATGATGTTCCGTCAATTGGATAATCCAAAAGCGGACGCCAGAAATCGTTTCATGAAATTTCTCCCGGCTCTCGTGTGGCTCTACGGCACGGTTCTTGTGGCGCCAATCGTCGCCACGTCACACATCGTGAGGGTACGACCCTTCCCCGACAGGTTGGTTACAAGCCACACACGTATGGTCTATGTAAAGTCAGAGAATATGGCTGCTTAAACTATAATACGCCTTTAGTACCTCATTATATGGAGCAGCTTCACAAAAAAAAAAGAAACATCTTTTACAGAACCCGAAATTTCATTACGATGGTCACAACAGCCCCCTACTGGCCCGCCATACGGAGCTAAATGAAGTCCTACAATACTTTCTCCAAATTACCTTCAAACAGCAAATGGAATATTTCAAGTGAAAGCGCATTCTTTTCTCTAAACACTGACATATCACATATGATGCCATCTGTTAACAAAAAAGCTATACTAACTGCTTAACAACGAATCGATCTCTTCAACTGTGTCGATTTTAACGCATGCATCCAGAATATATGTACTCGGAAAGTAGCACCCAGCAGGTTAATAATTACACCATATTTGTGTTTGATTTCCAGATATTCTTGTGGTATAGTTACAACATCAGACGACTTAAATGAACTACTGTATCCTTGGTTACTTCTAATGCTTGGCTACATAGTCCCTTGGATAGCCATCTTAATTATCTGTGTCGTAATTACGCAGTACGTCACTTCTGCTAGACGTCGTCAGCAACAACTTGCAAATGCAGCGCTGCAAAGAAGCCAAGGCATCGTAACTTCTGTTCCGCAAATTTATTCTGCTTCCTACCAGACATCCTGGAGCAACTGGTTGGGAGCATCCGGTCCTCTGCCATGGGAAGAAGTTAAATTCTATTTCTTGAGTTCGATGTTGCTCTTTCTGTATGTTATACTCCTCGTTCCACATGTACTGTGTGTCAACGTACCCCCTCTAATAGCACGGGAAGTTCGAGAAGACAATCCAGCTTCCAACAACAGTTCCATGTCAGAACTAACAGCAGTTCTAACTGGTACATATGATTGCTTCTTCGTATGGTGCCGGTACGCTTTCACAGTTCTGGTGCCAATATGTGTATTGATTATTCATAAAGAAGTGCGTAAAAAGAGTGAGCATATGTTCTGTTGCTGTTGTCGAAACAATGCTGTTGTCCGTTTGGACAACCCGAGATCAATTTCAGCTTCTGTCGAAATAAGGACGCAAAAATCGGCTAAGGAACTAAAAAACCACAAAAATAAAAACATTTTAAGAAAAAGACATCCAGACAGACAGAATAAATATTCAAGAATTTCTCATTATAGAACTCCTGTTCTGTTTGCTACGTCTGAAGGCCTTCATCTGAGAACTGTTGATGACAGACTGGAAGGTAGTTATTACTTCAATGACAACGGTGGTCGAGGTAGAACAGGGGATAAAGAAGAGTGTTGGACTGTTGAGCCAAGGTTCCTATGTGAGTTCTGTGACGTTGCGTTAATAGCTTCAACACCGACGGAGTCTATAGGGAACCCACAACAAAGTGTCAGGTGGGGACTACCACTCCCAGTGTTAGGAGAGGAAGCACTGGCTGAAAAAGATTTATATATAAGTGACAACGTGACAGGTGATAATATCGACGAGTTTGTAAGAAGACGAAGTAATTCTGGGGAAATTCTAGTGGCAAAGTTCAATAAAATGAACAACAGAAAAGAAACGAGAGTGAGATTTGCTCAAACGGTGAGTGAAATTCCATTATCTGAGAGCGGCGTATGGAGTGCGCCAGAGGATCAAGTATTTGTAGAAAAATCTGCTCATTACAAACGGAACGAATCATCATACGTTGCCCTTAAACCCTTCAATTCAAAACCTAAGGTCAGTGTACCTATCAGATCTCGTATGAATAAATTATCCTGACAGAATGACAAAATTACTAAACCCAGAAACAGTTCTGCAATATTACAGAGAAGAAAATCAAATTAATATTTAATCTAACTGTAAAATAATGAGTTTATTTGCAATAAAACAGTGTGTGCCATAATGGAATAAGTGCAAATTGCAATACGAATCACAAGGGCCTCATTATTCACATATCAAAGTCAAGAATTTGAGAAAGCAACGTGTCCGAATCCCTAGTAAATTCCAATAAAAATCTTTACTTTCTTAACCTGTAACCAGCCTGTGCCGAGTACAGACTGGTCTATCCTGTAAACTTGTATTCCGCGGGTACTTGATGGGAACAGAAGCTGGGACTTCCACTATTCTGAGTAATTTTTCTAGTGGTTTTCATCGTACCCCTCAGGCAAATGCTGGGATAACAGCTCGATTAGGCCATGAATGTTTCCTTCCAGTTCCTTTCTAGTTAATCATTTATCCTACCATCAGACTCTGTATTGTCCCGATACTGAAAAAAGTCATTAAATAACCCATAGAAAAAAGTACTGCGTCAGGAATTAAGCCCCCAACTTAAAGACCAAGAATGTGATAATGTGCTGCCTGACCAGGGGACGATCACAGGTGAGTTTGGGGCAATGGTGGAATGATGATTAGTAGAGCAACATCGAGAAAAGAAACTCAGAGACAAACCTATTCTAATGGTACATTATCCACGATTAATCTCACTTAAAGTCAGAAGGGGTTGAACCCGTGTCTCCGCAGTGGATAACGAGTCTAACCACCTGAAACGTGGCGCTGTCTAAAGTCCAGTATACATGGGTTTTCGTTAAAACTTTAAGGGAATAATCCCAGTATTTAAGTAGCAATTTATTACTGGCATAAACCCCGTTGAAATTTCAATGTGGAATTGTTAAATATAAATTTAATAAAAAAGTACCTAACCTGAACAACACAAAAAGTTCTAAAAATACTGATACATTTACACTAATATACTAAGCCGGATAGTATAGCAACATTCTGTAAGCATTGGTGCTATATTCGGAAACATTTTCGAGAAAGCAAAGGTTGATAAAATACAGTACAGTAAACCCTCGCTAATCCGGAATAAATATGGGGTGAGGGCATCCGGAATGGGCGATAATAAGGATTAATGTAGCAAAAAACAGCCCCAAAAGAAAAAACTTATAAAACAAATAAATAGAAAATTTAATAATATATATGGTTCTGTTGAAAATAAATAAAAAATATCACTGCAGAAATTTCTTCCTCTGTCAGAATCCGAAATTTTGGATCTCCTTCATCCAGCTCAAGCCAATCTTGGATATTTTCTTGCGTGGTTTCAGTCTCTGCAGCTGCCCTCAATACAGTCTGAAAGTCCTCTTGCTCTAGTCCCATATGTCTTTTAAAGTACAGAGTGATTCTAAATTATTGCCGGACTTTCCGTGGCCTATAAACCAGGAACCACGACAATAATTTAGAATCACCTTGTACAAGTATGTACTCAACAGTGAACAGCATTTTTCGTATTTTGATCCGGATTATCCGGTTTAACTGTAACCGGATTAGCGATGGTTTACTCTACTTCCTGACATACTGTACATATGACAGAAAAGAAAGCCGTAAATTTGCGTAAATATTAATATAAAATAAGGAAGAAATTTGATTACAAATTAGATTTAAAATACACTATCCTGTGTTTGTAAGTAAACAACGTTTTTGAGAGGCATATTGCTTCCGCCCTCACTTTGGATTCTGTGTTTTGAAAAACGCCGATGTGTGACGTCATACCATTATCTGAGCTGCACATAAAGTGAGGCCAAAAGGACAAGAGAGTGGCTTCCAGTTGGCCAGCAGGCAGTCTCTTGAGAACAAGGCAGGACTGCAATCATTGCCGTAGTGCAGACGGCAGTGTACGCAGCACTGCAGCGAATGTTGACATCTCGTGTTCAACAAACCTCTTGATCTGCCCATAAATCAATCACATCTGCCTGACACACAGCAAGTCTGTACTCAGCATTGCAGCAGGACCCTCTATGTTCCTGTTACTCGAGATCTGAGTCTACTGGAATTAATTACTCTAAATCACATTATAGAGGTCTAAGGCATGTACTGTCTTCGCTCGCTTGGAAATCGGGATCGTGGGTTCGAATCCCACTCAGGGCATGGATGTTTAGTTTGTGTGTGTGCGTTTTTATGTGTTTGTGTACAGGTAGAGGCCTTGCGACGAGCTGATCACCCGCCCAAGGAGTCCTACCGACGTGTAAGATCTAGAAAAACCGAAGTGAACGGAGAAGTTCATCGAGGTAGGCCTAGGCCCACTGGGGCTGTAGTGCCAAGGGAGAAAAAATTACATTATACTGAATTGGACTGATTCTATTAGACTGGATTTGGACTGAATTGAATTAGATTGTTCTGAATTGCTTTCAGACGGACTAGAATGTGTTGAATTGGATTGTCGTTGGATTATATTGAAGTGGAATCAGATTAGATCGACAGAATTGGATCTGATGAGACTTAACTGGATTAGAATCAAGATTATATGTGATTTATTGATTTTAGCTCATTTAACAACACTGCAGTTAATTCAAGGTTATACAGCGTCGCATAATTAAATGATGGTGTATGTGTGGATGGAAGTGGCACGAAAGGAATAGCTTATGCCATTAAAATACTATCCAGAATCTTTCCTGGAAGTACTGAGGAGGACCACGGAAAACCTCAATCACGGCATTTGATGTCCCGGGCGAGATTCGAAATATCTAACTTCGTAGATTCTAAAGGATTCTGACGATGGTGGATGACACACAATTACTGGGGTTTTGGACTTTTTCCATCGTCCGGAATTTTAGGTAATAGAGGACACGCCTCCATCTTCAGGGTAGAAAAATTCGCGAGCGAGGAACTAGCGTGAGCAGGTGACTGTTGGCTCAGTCTCCATGTTCCTCCGAAACGTCGGTTCACACAAGATCTACACGGCGCCAAATCCCAGAAGACGGCATTCTTCATAGTCACCGCCGTGAAAACCTCAAAAAAACTTCCTTCCTCTCCTTTTATAAAAACCATTTTAATATGTCCTCCCATCTACACATAGATCTTCCACGATATCTCTTCTCTTTACGTTTTATGACCAATTCTATATTTTCTGCGAGTGTTGCATTTCTCGCCGAGTTTAAGGAACAAAACAAAAAACAAACGAACACCCTGCTTTGAATCCGCAAGCGAACTATACCGACCGAGCGACCGTCGCTTGTCGACTAAGTTAGTGCCAACTTTAGCGGATAGAGGGGGTGTTTCGTGGTCAGCGCAAGGAATCCCCACGGCCGATGATCTAGGGTTTTCTAGACCGGAGCCGCTATTTCCTTGNTGCATCTCATTTATCCTCACGAGGCTGAGTGGACCACGTTCCAGATCTACTAATTCGCAGAAAAATCTGGTAGCGCCGGGAATCGAACCCGGGACCTCAGGATCTGTAGCCAGGCACTCTGACCACTAGATCACAAAGGCGGTCTGACTTCAAGAATCGCTTCGTTTAATAATAGGAGTCACTGTCCACAACACATACACACACAGCTGAACATGCGCGCTGCCAGATTTTCCTTTCCAAGGGATAGGGGAGCCAGTTTTCCAGACTGGGGCCATAAATTTCCTTACAAACTTAGGCTGAAATTTTTGAAGACTCTTTTGATCGATAACCCCCTTGTTATGGCGCGAAGGGGGGCCTGGAGGATTCGCTCCACCTCTTCCGCCATCCATGCCGTTGCGCCCTTGTGAAATGGCCAGTTGCAAGGCTAAGCGCTCGGCACTTGTCTCGTTAGCTACCTCTTAGCTGTGAGTTCACAGTATCGCTAACCTGGGAGGTACGGGAGATCGGGGAAATAGAGGGTGTGACTGTGGGGTAAGTAATTAACGCACGCATAGCCCTTACTTCCCCCTCGTTGGTGTCTTCACCTTATCGTGGTGAGGGGGTTTGAGTATGCCAAGGACCCTGAGGGCTATACCAGCGGTAGCGTAGCTACTGGCAGGGCCTCCCTTGCTGGACAGGTCAAAGGGTAGGCATCAGACGAAGAGAGACACCAAAAACTGATGCCGGAAGCAGCGTCATCAGCAGCGACTTGAAGCACAGAGCAAATGATGCTCGAGCTGGTTCAAGTTCGTATAGCAACAGGCGTGACCAGAGTGGTTTGAACGGCTGCTGTACTGCGATGTGGAAAGCAAATGGAAAAACTACCACATTATCACTTTTCCTGGATAGTCTCTTTCCAAAAACAGAAGATCGCATTAAGTGGAGGAACTGTTTTGGAAGAGATTGTGGACCTGTCGTCTGACAGATTACTGATGAATGAATGAAACCCCTTACTTGGTCTACTTTCGTCTACTAATATATACACTTACATACTTATCACTTTCATGGCCGGTAGTGGCCGGTTACGTACACATTGTAATTTAGATGAAAACACACACTTCGGTTCACCGTCCTGCCCTATCCTACTCTCTCTCTCTCGTGGTGGTTCCTACTCAGGGCCTACTCTCTCTGCCTTAAGCGTGTAAAATAGCACTTTAATAATATCACACTTTATATCCATGACTGATATGAACAGTTCGACTTACTTGGTGTAGGAAACTGATGGTGTCCCCTCACTTGGTCTGGCACGACCATGGCTCTGGCCCTCTTGGCCTCTGGCTGGCTACTCACTTAACATTGTACACTCAGATACATGGATAGACTGATCAAAAGATGGATCAGAAGATAGCTCCTCCAGTTGTGTCAGCTTCTTTATAACGTTTTCTCTGCTGACTCCTGTCTTTGGGGTTAATTAGAGCGAATTCTCCCCCAAAGGTCCGTCTGGTCGGTCATCTCGGTAGAGAGAGGGTTGGATCTCCTCAGGCGGTCTCGCTGAGTCGGCTCTCTGTACTCCTCGGCCGTCTGTTCCGCGTAAATCAGCAGTCGAAGCAATGCGACAATTTTCTCTTGACGTTGCTACTTCCTCCATTCTACTACAAACATTAACCCTGCGCCTGACTTCTCTAACTGTGAGCCCAAGATAACTTAATACCTAAAAGTTACAAAAACCTTGCCGAAATTCTACGGCATTACCCCCCTTACCTCCGCCAGGGAACAAATTTGGTGGTCC